CATCAGACACTGCATAGAAACAGTATGCTTTAACAGCTTCACACAACTGCTATAATTAAATATTTTTATCAGTTCTCACATATTAGAAAATTTATACTCAGAGAAGTTAAAAAATATAATGGTTAAATACATAAGCCACACCTTGACTGTATGAATTCAAACCTCATGCTTTTTTAGATCCTCCATACTTCTGTGCTGATATTCAGGCTTGATCAGCAAGACTTTGAATAATCGTACATTGTTGGTTATAAGTCTTAAATTGATACTCAAATCTCTCCAGCACGATATCTGTAGAATGGTAGCATATATGTGGCTACTACAATAAATCCCAAAACATAAATGTTTAATTTATCAAAGCTTCCATGATAAAATTAAAATAACTTATCTTTATGCTATATAATAATATAATGAATTAGGCTATATTAATAAGTTAATAGTATAAAGTTTTAGCTTCATGGACTTGCCACTAATTAATTGACACTCTTTTTTGGAATATTCACTTCTCTAACTTTGTAATCAGTTCAAATATTCCAATGTTATAGCCTCATCTTCTAGACATGGCAACAGATAACTAAGTTGAAGATACCAGAGGTTTGCTGTTGCTAAAAGTTTCCTCTACTATACTTTATCAGACCTTATAGATACCCAGTATTTTGAGTCAAGTTTTGGTAAACCTACTGAACCTCTCAATAGGGTATCTTATAAGCACCTCTATTTTAATTTATACACCAAAAGTTTGCGGTATCTGGTCTTTTGAAGACAGTGTACCTTCTTTATTCAGCTTGCTACTCTGTGTCTTTTTAATTAGGACATTGAACCCATTTACATTTAATATTAGTATTGATATGTGTGAATTTGATACTGTCATCATAATGTTAGCTGGTTATTTTGCAGACTTATGTGGTTGCCTTACAGTGTCCACTGGTCTGTGTACTTCAGTGTGTTTTTGTAGTGGCTGGTAATGGTCTTTCCTTTCCATATTTAGTGTTTCCTTCAGGATCTCTTGTAAGGTATGTCTGGTGATAACACATTTTCTCAGCATTTTCTTGTCTAAATAGGGTCTCAATTCTTCTTCACTTATGAAGCACAGTTTAGCCAATTTCTTTAAATTTGTCAAATTTACATTTCTTTAAGAATGTCAAATATTAGCTCTCAATGCGTTCTGGCTTATAGGATTTCAGCTGAGAAGTCCACTGTTAGTCTAATGGGCTTCCCTTTGTAGGTGACTTGCCTTTTCTCTCTATGTGCCTATTACATTTTTTCTTTCATTTCAATCTTGAAGAATCTGATGGTTACGTGTCTTGGTGATAATCTTCTATCGAACTATCTTACTGGAGTTGTCTGCATTTCCTGAATTAGAATGTTGGCCTCTTTAGCTCTGTTAGGGATCTCATGGATGATATCCTGAAGTGTGTTTTCCAAGCTGGTTCGCAACTGCAGCAAAAGCAAAAATTGACTTGTGGGGTCTAACTAAACTAAAGAGCTTCTTCACTCAAAGAAACTGTCAATAAACAACCTACAAAATGGAAGAAAAGTTTTGCAAACTATGCATCTGACAAAAGACCTAATATATACCAGCTACAAGGAACTTAAACAAATTTACAAGAAAAAAGCAACCCCATAAAAATGTGAGCAATGGACATGAACAGACACTTTTCAAAAGAAGACATACATGAGGCCAACAATCATGTGAAAGAAAGCTCAACATCACTGAACATTAGAGAAATGCAAATCAAAACCACAATGAGATACCATCTCATACCAATCAGAATGACTACTATTAAAAAGTCAAAAAATAACAAGGGCTAGTGTGGTTGTAGAGAAAAAGGAATGTTTATACACTATTGGTGGAATTATAAATTAGTTCAACCATTGTGGAAGACAGTGTGGCGATTCCTCTAGGATCTAGAGATGGAAATGCCATTCAACCTAACAATCCCATTATTTGTCTTCTTTTGGTTCTCTAATTCTTTCCGTTATTGTGTTAGGTTGTTAACTTGAGAATCAGTATGTTAAAATGGTCATCTGACCCAAGGCAAGTTATAGATTCAGTGCCATTCCTATTAAACTATCATTGACATTCTCCTCACAACTAGAGAAAAAGCTATTGTAAAATTTATATGGAACCAAAAAAATGCCCATATAGTAAAGGTAATCCTAAGCAAAAAGAACAAAACTGATGACATCATGTTATCTGACTTTATGTTACAGGGCTACAGTAACCAAAACAGAATGGTACTGGTACAAAAAAGACACATAGAGTAATGTAACATAATAGAGAACCCAAAAGAGGACCACACACCTAAAACTATCTGAGCTTCAAAAATCCTGACAAAAACAAGAAATAGGGAAAAGATTCCCTATTCAATAAATGGTGCTGGGATAACTGGCTAGCCATATGTGGAAGATTGAAACAGGACCCCTTTCTTATACCATATACAAAATTAATTCAAAATGGATTAAAGGCTTTAAAACTCAAAACTATGAAAACCCTGAAAGACAACCTAGGAAATACCATTCAGGACCGAGAAACAGGCAAAAATTTCTTGAGAAAAATGCCAAAAGCAATTGCAACAAAAGCAAAAATTGACAAATAGAAATCTAATTAAAGAGCTTCTGCAAAGCAAAAGAAACTATCCCCTGTTGGTTGGAGTGTCAATTAGTTCAACTATTGTGGAAGACAGTGTGGTGATTCCTCAAAGACCTACAGGCAAAATTACATTCAACACAGAAATCCCATTACTGGGTATATACCCACAGGAATACAAATTGTTCTATTATAAATACACATGCACACATACGTTTATTACAACACTATTCACAATAGCAAAGACATGGAATCAACCTAAATGCCCATCAATGATAGAATGGATAAAGAAAGTGTGGTACATCTACACGATGGAATACCATGAAGTCATAAAAAAGAATGAGTGTATGTCCTTTGCAGGCATGTGGATGGAACTGGAGGCCATTATCCTTAAAAGAGTAACACAGGAACAGAAAATCAAATAGCACATGTTATCACTTACAAGTGAGAGCTAAACGATGAGAACACACACTGGGGCTTTTGGATGGTAGAGGGTGAGGGAAGGGAGAGGGTCAGGAAAAATAACTAATGCATGCTAGGTTTAATACCTAGGTGATAAAATAATCTGTGCAATAAATTCCAATGACACGAGCTAACATATGTAACAAACCTGTACTTTTACCCATGCACTTAAAATAAAAGTTAAAAATGTTTTAAGTGATAAAAATAAATCAACCAATATTTTTGGATGAACAGGAAAAATATTAAGAATGAAACTTATGGAAGTACTGTTTCTGCCACAGTAAGGATATAATTACCTTGTTTTATGAATAAGAACAGAAGAAAAGCTGAAACTCAATGAGTTAAGCATCTAACACAATAGAAACATAATGAAAAATAAGTAGAACATAGAAAATTTAAAGAGTCTAAGTTAATAAAAAAAAATTCCTAATATAATGGAAATTAATAACAAAATCAAAAACTGATTCTTTGACAAGATTATTAAAATTGATCTTCACATTTGATTAAGAAAATATATGAATGAAAAGAATCTTACATATCCTGAAGATGTTAAAATATTATTTTGAATAACTGTCAATAATTGAAACTTTGAAAAAATTTCTAGAAAATAAAACTTTTCAAAAATTGACACAGGCAGAATTTGAAAACCTATGTTTAATTGACATCATCACCGAGTTTTAACATTTATATAAACATTCATATAAAAATAAATTCAGCATTTGCCATAAATTTCCAGGTGACTACATATGAGTGTACATTTCAGAATTCATTTTATGGAGCCAGGATATTCTATAAAACATTGTCAAAAATGACAGTAGAATAATGGAAAATATCTGTTTAATCTCATAAACATAGCTATAAAATTCTTAAGCAAAATATTAACTATGAATCAAGTAATACATAAAGAGCATAATTTATTGTGTAAGTATGGGTTTACCATAGTTTGATTTATTATTAAAAATTAGTCAATGTAATATATAAAATGATACATATAACATGACGATATCAAATTATGCAGAAAAAATGCCTATTGAAAAAATTCAACATAATTTTAAAGCAAACATAATTTTGAGAACACAAAAAATTTTGGGGAACTTGGAGTTAGGAGATATCCTTTATTTGATAGAGTTTTCACAACCATCCTAATTAATAGTGAAATATTGAAAGATTCGATTAACATCAACAATGTAAAACAATGAAGTTTTGTTTGGCTTTAGGTGAATATTAAATAGTAAATCAAGAAGAAATAATAAAATTTAAAATTCAGCTTTTATCAGCCAACATAGTAAAAGCTTATTTCAGTCAAAAAAAATATCAATACAATTCATCCTCCCTTAGCCACTGCTTTCATATCTGGAGATATTCATCTAACCATGGGTGGAAAATATTTAAAATAAAAACAAGTAAAATTATAAACAAAGAAAATACAATTTTAAAAAAGCATACAGTGTAATAACTGTATAGCATTTACATTGTATTAGACATTTTAAGTCACCTAGAGATGATTTAAAATATATAAGAAGATACATGTAGGTTATATACATATACTATGACATTTTACGTCATAGTAAAATGGTTCCAGTGCTAGAACCAATCTTCCAGGAGTACCAAGAGATAACTGTAGATGCAAAAACTAGTAGGTGAAAGTTACGTGAAGAACAGTATTTTCCTAGTCTCAAAGTACTTCCTCACAAAAATGCATTTTAATTACAAAGGGAAAAGAAGGGCAATTTTTTTTTTAACTTGAAAACTTGGCAAATATCTCCTTAATCAAGTCACCTATTAACTTCAGAAGGTAATGGGCAAATCAAAATTGTAGACCACACAATGGGATGCAGTGAGAAAGCATAACAACACTTCTTGTATGTTCTTTCAACAATGTATTATCTGAATGGTAATCATAAGAAAACAAGAGGAACATTCAAAACTACTTGCCTGTCATCTTCAAAAGTGTCAGTATCATGAAAGTCAAATAAGGATCGAAGCATTCTTCCAAATCAAAGGAGCTGAAATAAGTACAACAGTTCAGTGTAGCTTTTGATCCTGGGTTGGATCTTTTTACATAAATGACATTAATGTGAAAACTGGCAAAATGTTTATACAGTCTATAGATTACATACCAGTAATGAACCATTGTCAGCTTCTTCATTTAGATGGTGATATTACAGTTATATAGGAGAATGTTCTTGGTTATAGAAAAAAAACTGAAGTACTTGAGGATAACGGGATATCATGTCAATGAGGTACTTCTTAATGGTTCAGGACTAAAAAAGGTCTTTATACTGGTCTCCCAACCTTTCTGGGAGTTTGAAAACATTTTAAATAAAAATAAATAGTGGTCAAATAGTCCCCAAAATTTAACAAGATATGTCTGTCAGTTTGGCTGGCCATAATTAAAAAGTTTAATAATACCAAGTACTAATGATGCTATAGAACAATAGAAAGTTTCATATGTTGTCTTTGGATGTGTACATTGGTAAAATCATGTTGGAAATAAGTTGAAATTGGCCAGGCGCGGTGGCTCAGGCCTGTAATCCCAGCACTTTGGGAGGCCGAGGCGGGCGGATCACGAGGTCAGGAAATCGAGACCATCCTAGCTAACATGATGAAACCCTGTCTCTACTAAAAATACAAAAAGTTAACCAGGCGTGGTGGCAGGCGCCTGTAGTCCCAGCTACTCGGGAGGCTGAGGCAGGAGAATGGCGTGAACCCGGGAGGCAGAGCTTGCAGTGAGCCGAGATCGCGCAACTGCACTCCAGCCAGGGCGACAGAAGCAAAATTCCTTGTAAAAAAAAAAAAAAAAAAAAAAACGTTGGAATTATGTGGTAAATTTGAAGATACGCAAACTCTATTGCCCTACTATGGTAAGCAGAATTCTAGATGTAGAATTCATGAGCTAGAACTCATGACCTTTGGTCCTTACTATTACTCCCATGATTACGTTAACTTACATGGCAAAAGGGATTTTACAGATGCGTTCCGATTTACTAATCAGTGTTCTTAGGACGGGGAAATTATCTAGGTGGGTGGTGAAATCACAAGTGACCCCATTAAAGTCTCCAGCAGGTGGCAGAAGAAGAAATCAGGGATTCAGAGCATGACAAAGGTTTAAAACAGGGATGTTCTTTGCTGTAAAAATACATACACATCATGACATGGTACTGTGACTGGTCTCCAGGGCCTGAGAGAGGCTCCTAAGAACCTTAGGAACCTCAGTCCTACCACGGCCAAGAACTAAAGCAAAATCTTCCTCAGAGCTTCCAGATAAAAAGTCAAGCTCAATGAATACCTTGATTATGGCTTTATAATATCCTGAGTAGCAAACCCAGGTGAGTGAATGCAGGCTTCTGACCTGTAGAATTGTGGGATAAGATTTTTTTTTTATTTAAACCACTAAGTTTCTGATAATTTTTGACATAGAAATAGAAAATTAATATACCAGGCTTCCCACCTCTAAGTATATACCAAAAAGAAATTTCTGAGCATGAAAATAATTGTACTCATATAGTATATGTGTGTGTGTGTATATATATAAAAATATATATGTACATACATGAATGACATTGTTCTAATATCTAAATACAGAAAAAAAGCCATATCTATATATTCATATATTCATATAAACCCATATATTCATTCAATGCAATACTTCTAGACTGAAAGTAAATAAATTTTATCTACAAAAAAAAGTGTGGGTAATCTTACAATGTTAGGTAAAAAGACATTTTATATATGTATATATATATATGAATCAATTTGCATAAAGTTAAAAAACACACAAAACCAAGCTATGTTTTTGGGGGTGTTTATATAGCATCCCTATGAACTAAAGCAAGGAAATGATATACACAAAAATCAGCATAGTGATTTTTTAAATTATAGCATATACAGTTCTTTGTGTTTGCAGATAATGTAACAAACACAAAGAAAATTATAACTATGGCAAAAGTATTTCAAGGAATTGTTTTTGAAGTCTAGTATTAAAAGAGTATACTGGACTCTGAAAAAATTTAAGGACTTTTTGATGCAAGGAAGTCCATACTTGGGATATTAGGCAGGTCATTTGGACTCACTATGTTTCTCTATCCCCAACAGTTACATGCCAGTGACGAAAATTCTACCAGTTGCCTTTTCATTTAGAATTTCCCTCTCTGTGATTCTAAAACAGGAATGCTTGTAACAATCAAATATTAAACTAATCTTTCTGCATCCAGAATAACAGAACCACTTTTTTGAAGATGAATAGTTAAACCTCAAACACTAAATACCTCTTGGATATTAGATACTGAGATGATACAGTGGAAGCAAATTGAAAAAATATGGGTTTCAGCAAGGTAAAGAAAATGGACTTAAAAGGGCCATTGATCACATTTAGGAGGTATTTTATAGCCTTGAATCCCAATTTTGGATTCCCTCCCTTTGTTCTAATACACATACAAAGTTTGGGTGAGAAGAGTTCTTAAAACAGTGTAAGAAATACTGGATGAAAGAAATACTGAGGAATCGTAGTTGACTATGTGGCTATCTGTCAATATGGGCCTCGACAATGAATTTACTTTTGGAAAAGAGAACGGATGACAACAGAACAGAGAATACAGGCTTTACGTTTTCTTCCACAAAGAAGTACTATTTACAATATAAAAACACAGTATAGAAGCAGAGGAAAAACGCAGGAGAGTGTTGTTTACAATCTCCCTCCCTGTAAAGCTATGAACAAAAAAAGTTTGCTTTCAATGTTTTATACTATCAAGTTTTTAAATATCTTTACCAGCTCCAGAATTGTTCATCTACGATCAGGTTTATGTTGATAAAGGCAAGCAGATGGTTAGGAGATCATATGATTAACAGCACACTAAAAGAGTTATCAGGATGAATGAACACTTAATTACCCATTGTTAGATGTATATTCCCCTATGAAAAATATGCTATGACAATTTCCTTAAAAATTTCAGGAGGGCCTTTTAGACAAGGCATTGTAAATCCCGCAGGGGACAGGATAACAAGATGGGTGGATGTTTATAGGAGGAAGACAAGTTGCGACCCCCTGGCTCCTCTATTAATCCAAAACTCAGAGCAGCTCCTCCTTTCATTGCAATATATATTGAGGTTATACAGGGAAACAGTCTGATGAAGTAATTAAAAGGTCAAGACATCCTGACATAAGCCTGTAGTCTTAGCTACTTGGGAGGCTGAATCAAGAGGATGGTTTGAACCCAGGAGTTCAAGGCTGCAGTGAATTATGATCATGACACTGCATTCCAACCTGGGCAACAGAGTAAGACCTTGTCTCTAAAAAAAGAAAAAAAATTAAATAACTGTTTTTAAAGGTCAAGATATAATGCTTTTAAAAATGGAGTTAAACTTTTTTCTCTAGTAATTGCTTACTCTTAGTTATATGAAGTCCCTGGCTATGACACTCAAACTAAAAAAAGCTGGGATTCATGGGCTAATTCTTCCCAGGTGGTGAAGCACAAGGCTGCCTCTCAACTTTATGAGTCAAGAAACATGATACTGTCCTTGTACTCAGAGATGATGAATGTGAGCTAACATTCCTTGAAAAACTGAGTCTCATGTTCTTGACTCAACCTGTTGTTTTGTTTTGTTTTGTTTTGTTTTGTTTCATCTGGGAAATCTAGCAGCAAAACGAAATTGAGATTCTGACGGTGTTTTTGGTGTGGGTGGATGAGCCATGGATATTAGTGAACTTGGTGGCCAAGCAAAGTCAGGAGTAAGGAGGACCTGGTTTTTAGCATTCCCAGTACACATTGTTTCCTTGTGGGCAAAACCTGCTGTCCTACCTCAGGGTGAGTCTCAGAAGACTAGCAGGGTAGATGGAAGATCTGTCAGCACCTCAAGGCTCTGGGCTAGGTGGACTATGACCTCAGCCTGGAAGAATCTGCTATAATCCTGGGACAACTCTGCTCTCCCAATTCTCTTTTTCTCAAGTTATTCTCTTTCTGACTTTTGTCATGCCTTTCCCTTCATTGCTAAAGGCTGCTGAAAATGAAAGCTCGAACACTATCCTGTTATTTGTGCTTTCAGCCTTTCCCTAAGGTAATTAGGCATAGTCCCTATGTGAATGTGGGAAAATAAGAGAATATGTATGGAACATTGAGAAAAAGTAAAACAAATAACATAAATTAACAAGTTGAGTGGATAGGTCTTATGCCTAGAATTCATGTCAGGGCCCACAGTCAAATGTAAATTACTTCACTTCTAAAGTCAACTCTAAATGTAACCTGTCTTCTCCCCCTGTGCTGCGAGAGCCCCGCCACAGAGCATCATCAAAGACAGTGATTACAAAATAATAATTAATAAATTCCGTAGTCAGACTGCACTGACTTGAAACTGCACAATAAATCAGTAATAGATCTGTTCAATTAACAATGAGCCAAATATTTAACTTCATCACCCCTATAACTTACTCTTATGAGGTCATTTCACATCTGAAATATAGAATCTACACACAACTTCCTCAGTTATATAATACTATGGCAAGAACTGCCTTAACTGGTTATACTTACACTGATGTAAACAATGGAATTGTCCAGCTGATGAACTGCAAAATGAGGATTCTGCTCAGGTTTGGCCAGATGCTAATGATGGGCTTGTCATTTATTACCTTCTGTAAATCCCAAAGAAAAAGGGAGAGTGTTTGGCATGTAACTAACATTGTCAGATTTAGCAAATAAAAATGTAGAATGCCTAGTTAAATTCAAGTTCCAGATAAACAGCCTTTTTTTTTTTTTTTTTTTTTTTAAGAATCAACATGTCACAAATATTGCCTGGAATGCATTTATATCCTCAAATTAGATTTTCTTTATTTGAAACTTCAATTTAACTGGATGTCTTTTATTTTATCTACCAATTTAATATGCAAGATATCCCTTGTCATCAAACTTTTTTTTTCCATTGAAGATTTATCTACAAGTGGAACCAACTATATCAGTAAGAAGCAAAGCATAAATTGCTTTTTGAATATATTTGTTGGAGCTGTATAGAAGAAACATATGAAATGTCATACTCATTAAAACCATAATATAGTATGATCTGATGTTTCAAGTTCTACCAATAATAGTTCATTTCTTTCTTGCTTTTATCAGGATTCCTTTCTAAATGTAAACTGTGGTGGCTAGCAGTTAATGAATTCCTGGTGCAACTGAATGTTAAAAATGAAATTCTCTTTTGTGTCGATTTCAGCTAAGTTCCACAGATGCCAAAACAGAGTGAGTATTTATACAGATGTACGGTGATCATCATCTATGTAGGTTTAGTAAAACAGCCTAAAATCAGTTCAGTAACAATTAGTCTAATCCCCATGTTCAGAGCATAAGATTATAAAGCTCAAGTATCTGGGGAAGAGAATATTTTTGTGGGGATAGTTCTAAGTATGCAGTAAGTCTTTCTCCCATGGAAAAGGTGGGGATTTGCTTTCTCTCATTTCAGCCTTAATGAAAAGATTGCAGATTTTTTAGAGAGCATAATGTGTTCTCTTGGAGTAGACTTTCATGAGACATGAGCATTACAAAATAAATAAAGTAGAAAGAAAAAGACTGCCATTGTGAGGCTGGCTAAAGTGGTCTGTGGAAGCAGGTTGTACGATTATTTGGGGAAAATAAATGCTCTTTGACTGAAAGCAGGATACAGTTTCATGTTTCTAGGGAATCAGATGTGGTAGGTGTATTAGCCAGAGGAGGTTTTAAAAGCTTGAGAGGTTTTTCTGCAAAGGGTGAATTCATTAGAGGTTCCTTAGTTCATTAGAGGCTGAGGGGAGGTAGCAGGTAGACAACTGAAAAAAGAGACTTTGGCCGTTTTCTAGATGGGTCCAGCTAGAGGTGTTCAAAAGCAGAACTCTGAGTCATCCAGGAAAGCACTAGGAAAGGCAGATAAAGCTTTAAGTAATGGCCAAGGGGAAAGCCAGCTCAAAGACTATCAGTCTCACCAGACATTTTCTGGACTTACCTCTGAGTATTTCCTCTCTCAAACCTGCAGAAAGAGGACCACTTAGTGAATGGGAGAAGGTGAAATGAGGATGTCATAGGTAGTGAAATAGAAAATAATGTAATCACAGCTCATCACCAAAGTAAGTTACTACCTGATATAGGCCCAATAGATCAGGGGACCTTCAGGTGCAACACCGAGCTTCTCACTATTCTACAGAAATAAATATTTCAAATTCTGATTGAGTCCATTCTTGGATAAAAGTAGCCAAAATACTTTTTATTATATGAATAACTGGAGATATTCTGCCACCTGCCCAAGATCCATTATGCTAATTGATGAGGAGTAAAGGGCAGATTTAGTACATTTGTAAGGTATGAGACATTTCTGTTTGACATCTAGAGCAGGTGTCCACTAACTTTTACTGCATAAGGCCAGATAGTAAATTAATGTTTTAGGCTTTGGGGGCCAAGGAAAAAAAATGAGGCTATTATGTAGGTGTTTATAACAACAACAGTTAAACCATATTTTTACTGAATTTTTATTAACAAATTCAGAATATAACAATAATTGAGTATTTTTTTTGGTAATACACATCTGTAAGTGAGGAGAATTGAATTCTTTTTGAGTGGATAACATTTTGCTTCATTGGGCTTCAATGTTAGTGTTCTTTACTATCAAACAGATTACAGAGGTTCATCTGTAAAATCAATTCTTGGCTCATGAGCTGCACATAAACAGGCAGTGGAATAGATTTGGCCTGCAGGCTATTTGCTTACCCCTCTTATAAAGCCCCAATGCTTTCATCAAAATGGTTACAACTGGACATGTGTAATTTCTCCAGGTTTCCCCTAGGTAAAGGTGCGAATGCAGATGAAGCCATCAGGCACTGGGGTGTGAGTCAACCAAGTGAAAAGTAAGAGGAAGTGTTCAGCTCTCTGGCAGAGAGGGAAAAACTGTGGACATGAGGGATATCTCACTTTCCCTGCTCCTGGTGATTTCAGTTGCGGTAATAACCCTCCATAGTGACCTTTCTGCATTAGCACCTGCCCAAAGTACCACTGACACCAAAATCAATCAAAGAGAATGGATTTTCCAGAAGGGAAGACCTACCACAAAGATGCTCCTCTTATGAAAGGAAGCAGCCAAGTCCATTGGCTCCATAGATTGGTTCCATAGATTTTTTCCCCCTGTCTTTCTCCTTAAAAGAATTAGTCAAGTTAAATTGATGCCATTTGTAAAGACACTGACATAAGTAAATGAGAAACTTTGCAATAGAGTTGATTGATAACTGAAATTATGTTAATTTTTCTCTGAAATGGAGATGAGATTTCTTTAGCAGAAAACATACTACTCCATATAATATTCCATGTACTTCTGTGACAGTTTAGCATTTTCAATACTTTTCTCTGGAGTTGGGTACCCAACACTGAAAATTCCACAATTTAGTGATAAAATTTGATTCAGTGCTAACCCAGCTAGGTGGTAGTTATTGCTTTGTGGAGATGAAAAGATTTTGTTATTTTCTGGAATAGAAAATGAGCCAAAAAATAGCATAAACTCAACAGGAGCTCTGACAAATACTGACATGTTATTATAAATCATTATGTGAGACAGAAAGCAAGGTACAGCCATGAAATCTTCCCTAGATTCCTTCATTTGGCTTGAGAAGCTATTTGGCTTGCTTTGATACATTCCTAATGTAGTGTGAAAATGGGTTTACTAGATATAAAGGACATCATCTGGTTACCTGTAAAACAGAGGAAAATTCCCTGGGAATCACTTCAAAGTCTTTTGGGAAATGCTATATGATGCTCAGTACCAGTTACTTGAAGAGGTTAAGGAGACAATTCCTACCTTTTGGCAGTTTTACACATTCAGAATTTCTCAGACTTCCTTGACCCTTTCAAACTCGGGAAGCCAATTATCCTAGTAAATGTAAACAAGGATCCAATCACAGGGAGTGGAGTGGGAGACATTAGCTGCTGTGTCATCTGCTAGCCTAGTTGAAAGAAGCTAAGGGTCATTTGTAAACCTCCTGTTAACTTCTAGAAAGCCTGAGGAGGGTTGCAATCTCTGGATTCACAAGGGCCTTTTTCACAGATGACCAGCTGGTTAAAAGGAAAAAAGAAAAAGAAAAAACTGTTATTAGCTTTTTAAATGATAGTGTAATGAGGCTTGGTGAGACAATAAGCAATGCTAATGTGTCTATAGTAGAGAATAATTTAAATAAAAATCAGAAACCTACTAAAACCCCCTTAAAAATTAAAATCTAAGAAATTTTGTCAAATATGGATTCAAATATATTAGTAAACAAGATAATTCACTGAACTTTACACTTTCCATTTTGCAAATGCATTTTGAATGTCTACCATTTACACAGATTATATTAAAAATCAATTCACTCACAGAAAGCTAGAGTCAAGAAGGGACCTTTGCAGTCATTGGGGTCAGCATTTCTGTGGCCTCTGCGAAATAAATGTCAGTGGCATGCCCCAGTCACACATTATACAAACACCTTCACCCATATTATCCCTCATTTTACCATTCAGGGAACTAAGTAGAGAGGAATTGTATTACAGCAGAGATATCACAGCATAGCTTTTGGAAGTTCAATGCTTAGAATTAGACTGGTTCCACCACTTGCCCACTGACAGATCTTGAGAGTTTTTAAAAATCTCCATCAGCATCTATTTGGTTTCCTGTTAAAAAGAAAAGAAACAAGCACATAGCTGTATTTATCACCTGTAGATATTGTGGGAAAAATAGGTGAATTTACCTCCTGTGCGTGTTTTTGCTTGCTTTTCTAGTTGATTTTAAATACTCTATTAGTAAAAATATTGACCTTTATGTTTCTATCTCTTGCAAATGTGTTTATTATGATGGTTGGCATGTAAATTTATGATTAAAAATATGGGTTCTATATTTCAAAGCCTTCCTGCTCTTTCTCCTTTGATGTTACCCTCTGTTTCTTCCAAGAGTCAAAAGAATTCTGAAAAGGTCTGTACAATTAAAGTTTATAGTCTAGTTCCCAGATTGACTATTTATCAATTTTGTGGTTTAGTTACCAAATTAATTTCTCTAATTTTGATTTCCCCATCCATCATGTAGTAACAATAAGACTTATTACTGCAAGGTTTTCTTAGAAATAAATATATTTAGTAATCTATAAAGCACTGTATAATCTAAGAATGCATTGGTTCTTAAGATAAGATATGCAGGTAGAACAAAGATACATTTACATTTCTCTCTATAATTAACATCATTGTTATATAGTATTACAAAAAATATACTTTGTGAGTTTTTAGGGGCACAGTTTTTTTCTTATTCAATTTTAATGTCTGTTTTCACAAATCCAAGATACACAGTTCAGTGGTTGCTTAGAGTTAGTCAATTTTATTCCCCAGTGTAGATGTACATTTCTTGTATGGTGTCTCAATTCTCACCTGGTGTGTTGTGCTTGTTTTCTTGCTTTTGCTTTTGTTTTACTAAAAACTGATGGACCTAATATTCCATTCACTTAGAGTGCCTTTAGCTGCCTGATCAGTTGATCTGAAAAAACAAACAAACAAACAAACAAAAAACCATGGTGAGCACTACTGAGTTAGCCCCACTTGACAATCCAGATATTGAAACATAGAAAGCAAACTCAGACTCACTATAAAAACAAAATAGAGTGTGTGGACACTGCCCTGGAAGGTAACACTAGACAGGCAGGTGGCAACATTAGATATCAAAAGTATAAGTATCCTATTTGAAATTAGTTAAGACATTATAGATATATGCTGTTTTTACAATAGTTATATTTGGATTTGGGGAAACCAATGAGAATACTTAGAAGCCAGTCGGGATTTGGAACAAAAAGTAGGCATTCTACAAATCGTAAGCAACAGGGTACTACGTATATAGTGGGCTCCTAAAAAGAGTTTTTTTCAGTAAATATTTTTGCATTCAAAACACTTGAAAACCTTTCACAGGCTTGATAACTATTGCAGTCATTTATCCCAGCAAAAACAGTCTCCTAAATCTCATCTTTACCTTTGCGATTGATACAGTTTGGCTGTGTCCCCACCCAAATCTCATCTTGAGTTGTAGTTCCCATAATTCCCACGTGTCATGGGAGGGACCCTGTGCAAGGTAATTGAAACATGGGAGCAGTTACCTCCATGCTGTTCTTGTGATAGTGAGTGAGTTCTCATGAGATCTGATGGTTTTCTAAGGGGCTTCCTCCACCCCTTTGCTCTGTACTTCTTACTGCCGCCATGTGAAGAAGGATGTGTTTGCTTCCCCTCTGCCATGATTGTTAGTTTCCTGAGGCCTCCTGTATTATAAGAGTTCTCTTAGAGGGACAGAATTAATAGGAGATATATATATATATATATATGTGCAATATATATATGCACTACATATATATATATATGCAACATATATATGCAAAGGAGACTTTATTAAGTATTAACTTACATGATCACAAGGTTTCACAATAGGCTATCTACTTGCTGGGCAGCAAGGAGAGCCAGTCTAAGTCCAAAAACTGAAGAACTTGGAGTCCGATGTTCGAAGACAGGAAGCAACCAACACAGGAGAAAGATGTAGGCTGGGAGGCTAGGCCCGTCTTGCTTCTTCACATTTTTCTGCCTGCTTTATATTTGCTGGTGGCTGATTAGATGGTGCCCACCCGATTAAGAAAGGGTCTGCCTTCCCCAGCCCACTGACTCAAATGTTAATCTTTGGCAATACCCTCATCCAGGATCAATATTGCATCCTTCAATCTAATCAACTTGAAACTCAGTATTAACCATCACAAGTCCACCTTTGTCAAGTTGAACCCATACACATCTCCTGAGATCATACATAATCGACAATAAGTTCATAATTATGCCTAACATAATACAACTATCTTTTGTACAAACAGAAGTGCACCAATCCCTAACACAAATACTATTACATAAAGTTAATACTTAAATGCTGATATGAAGGCAATAAATCATATGTCACATGATAAAAAGGAAATAAAATGAAGATACTGTCTTTGTACAAGTATGCACGTTCACAAACATGTTTTTAACAAAAGAAGGAGGGAATACTAATGATGGTTATGGTCATTTCTGCAGTCGATTCATGTGGTATTGATGGTATTGATGGTATTGACAGGTGGTATTGATGACTACCTTCTACTACCCATTCTGTATTCCCTTTGCTTTCAGCAAGCACTTGAGCAGGTTGTATGTGTGTTTTTTTTTGTTTTGCTTTTTTTCCCCCCCTTGTGGAGTGACCCAAACCTTCATTCCTGAGGGGTCTGGACCATTGGTCATCCTACCTGGATTGGGCTGTTGTAGTTTCCCATTGACCTTAATCACAGGGCATGGTAATACTAAGAGAAGCCCTAGTAGATCTCCTGTATTCCATGCATACTCTTCTGTACCTCCATTGTAGAGTAGTAGGCTTATTTCATCTTGATAGTCCAGATCAATCACCCCAACCAACCCTGTAACTCCCTTTGCAGCTCATTGACTTAAAGGTAGGAGGAACCCAAAGTGTCCAGGTAGCAATCTTAACCTCTAGTTTTATGGAATTCTTGTTGTGTCTCTTGGGGGCAGCATTCCTCCCTCTGGAACTAAGACCTCTAGGCCAGCAGAACATAATATCATGGGAACAGGAAGCAAAAATTTTGCTAGTGGATCACTAGATGTGATGGTGAATGGTGCCACTTCAATTTCTGCCCCTTGATTCCTGGACTGGTGAATCCTGGGTATGGGAGAAAGAGTACCATATACTGAATGCTGATTCAAAGCATGCATGGCCTTCTGGAGAACTTTGCCCCAGGCTTGCAAAGTATTGTCACTTAGTTGGCATTGTAATTGTGACTTCAAAAGGCCATTCCACCATTCTATCAATCTAGTTCAGGATGATGGGAAACATGGTAACAGTGAATTCCATGAGCATGAGCCCACTGCTGTACTTCTTCAGCTGCAAAGTGAGTGCTTTGGTCAGAGGCAATGCTGTGTGGAATACCATGATGGTAGATACGGCATTCCGTGAGTCCATGGATGGTGTTCTTGGCAGAAGCATTGCATGAAGTATAGGCAAACCCCTATTTGGAGTAAGTTTCTATTCCAGTGAGGACAAAACTCTGCCCTTTCCATGATGTAAGAGGTCCGATGTAATCAACCTGCCACCAGGTAGC